AATTAAGTCCACATTGTTTAACATGACATGACCATCTTTAACACAAATATTCTAAATATTTTTAAATCTGAAAATATCTCCCATTTTTAACTTTTGCTAACCATAAATATCAAGAAAACAGTAAAAAACAAAATCAGAGGCAGCTATGGATTTTTGAAAATTTGTCTTCGATCGTTATATTTTCAAGTCAAACTTTGAACAGTTGCTGTAACGTCCACTTTTAAGTAAACAGAATTTTCTCCAATTTCTTTATACATATTTATTATTACATTTATAACATTTAGTACATAATCTTTTTATACATAACTGATTCATTTATCTTCGACCTGAATGTTGAATGCAGTCAAAGTAATACTATCATTGTTAAAAAAATTAATTTAATTTTAGGATTTAATATAATATATTTTCAAGATTTGACAAAGCGGTTTTTGTTAAAGCAGTTACTGTTTGGCTCAACTGCGAACCGCCTTCTTTAATTGTGTTTTACAGCCGTTTTGCTTTACGTTCATTCCAATCCGAAGCTTGTAAATAAGAATCTGTTAAGTGATTTCGCCCATATTTTTCTTTTATGGCTTTCGGTGGCGATTTGTCGTATTTTGCGTTAATTGGATGGGGATATGGCGATTTTTCTGACTAATTGTGAATTATGGCGGCCGCAAATTCACCCAATCTAGGCGTATTTGCCATTAGGAACTGCAAGTATTTAATTTGCATAGCAGTAAATATGTGGTACGAATGTCGTACGTCGCTACTGCACTGAAATACCGGTCAATAAATTTAAATTATTTTAATTTTCATATTTATTACTCCAATTATGGGTGTTTTCTCTATAAGGACTTCGTTTAAGTTAATGCCCTCATGTATTATTTATAGGGGTTTAATAGTTTCACATGGTTTTTCAGAAAAATCAGCCGGTATCTTCATTACAGAACTAGTCTACGCTAAGCCGATACCGCATTCACACTGATCAGTCTAATCGCATTACCACAATGATAATAATAATAATGATAATACTCTCGGCAAATCCTCTCCGCTCTCCGTTGCGTCACCGCTTAAAAATCCTCTAAACAAACTAATTAAACTACTAAACACCTTTTTTAGTCACTGGTTCCGGCAATAACGTCATTTAAGGCTAAATCTCGAGATGACTGATTGTTGTTGTTGATGACTGCGATATCTTGGTTAATTTCCAAATAAGGTGGCCGTCACAAGTAGACGCCAGGCCAGAGACAGGTAGCTCGTGATAGTAACTTACAACTTCGCAAGGTTGCGGCTGTGTGGGCGGCTCAGTTATAGTCGGACTAGGCAATTTAAAACCGTCGGAATCGCCACATTATGCGGAAAATCGACACGAAGTTGCGAATCCGTTGGAGACTTCAATTAGGGATCAGACGCGAAAATCTCGAAAATTAGTTTAGGAGGTACAGCAATAAAAGAAACTTTGTCTAAATATTTGCATCACTTTTACTTCGAGAAAGATGCTGTGTACTAGTTAGATTTAATTGATTTAGAAATGTGTTTATTACTTTTTGATAGCATGATTTCCTAGACACTTGTGTTGTTTTAAACAATTAGATAGGTATATTGTTCTTAATTTGGTAGTTTCGCGGCTCATAAAGGAAAGAAATGAGATAAGAGTCTATTGTGAGAGACTGGCATTTCGTAAGTGTCATAATTTATCTATGAGATTAAAAAAAAACTGAGAAAAAATCAGCTTTAGTAAAATTTTCTAGAGTGGAAATGCTATGTGAAGAGTTAAGTCGGGAAGGAACCACAAAGTAAAATGACGAAAGTGGTTGACGCAGTTTACTCCCCCTCGAAATTTGCAGATGGGCTCGTCCAGGTGCTTTTATGTCTACTGAGTCGTTTTATAGGTGTGTATTTCCACTTTAAATTGAGATACCACGAAGTCCAAATTCGACTAAATTAAATTTAAGGGGACGAGTTTTGACATTGACAACGACCAATCAGTTTTGGGGTATTACATTAGTCGTTAAAAACTATCAATTTGTTCTTTTATTGCATATTTTATTAGATAGATAATCTCAGGCATTCCAAAACCCATTACCTATTGTGAAAATTTAGCTGTACTTTGAGATTATCCTGAAAATAGTGAAACGCTACTCTGTTCATTCTCACCAAAAATTTGATGACATGAGAGCACAATAAAAACACGATCAGAGGCAGCCATGGATTTTTGAAGATTTGTCTTTGATAGAAATTTAGTCTTCAATATTTTCGATAATTTATTTATATTATTATCATTAGATTATTGCAAAATTAAATGAAAATATATGTTTTCATACGAATTTATAAAAAGTTTTATTTTTGTGATAAATATTAAGCTATTTCCTAAATTTAGTGTTAATACCTATTGTATATATTTGTAGTTACTGTACTTAACATATTGTGTTTTTTTTAAATTGAGTGCTCAGTTTAATTAATTTAATTATGCTCCACCCCACGACTTACGACGAATAAAAAAATCATCAGATTTGAGATGGGGTGGGTGGGCGGGGCTTATATTTTGCCCTTTTTGTTTAATATACATAGATATCTTTTCACAACAAGAAACTTAAAACATGGTTAAAATGGTACATTTTTGCAAGTAAATATCGTGTTGCAATCATGAGGCGGAGCCATTTTGCAAAATCGATATTTCCTTATACAAATTTCCAATTTTAAAGATGTTTTAAGTTTCATGTTGTGAAAAGAAGTCTACACATATTAAAACAAAAAGGCAAAATATAAGCCCGGCCACCCGCCCTGTCTCATTTGTAATGATTTTTTTTTATTCGCCGTGAATCAAGGGGGCGGAGCTTAACTGCAAAATACCTATTTCTTTGCAACAAATTAAAAATATGTTTTTGAGTATCGTGTTGTTCAAAGAATACTACGTATATTAAGAAAAGAGGTCAAAATATAAACTTAAAACATGTTTAAAATGGTAAATTCTTATAGACAAATACGAATCTTGCAATTAAGGCCCACCCCTCGATCTGACAACGAATGAAAAATTTATCACAATTGAGCTTGGGATGGATGTAGGTGGGGCCTAATCTTTGGCTTTATTTTTTTCGTAATGTACATAGTATTCTTTGAACAACACGATACCCAAAAACAAGTTTTTAATTTCTCGTACTTCTCTACGTGCAAAATAGTTACTTCTGTAAGTATCTTACAGTTAAGCTCCGCCTTCATGGCTCACGTCGAATAAAAAAAATCATCACAAGTGAGACAGGACGGGTGGACGGGGTTAAATTTTGCCTTTTTTTCTTATTATGTGTAGATTTATTTCGACAACAAGAAAGTTAAAACATGTCTAATCATCTTAAATCCTCCACTTTTCTCTACAACCTCTTTAAATATGGCAAAAGTTGAACATCAAAGTTAGTATCAACGGAAACTTGACAACGGAACTTTTGCTTAGTAAAGGATATTTAGATTTTATAAAATAAAGTCCTCCTCTACCTGTGGTTCATGAATCCACCTTCATTTTGTTTATTATTTATTATTATTATAATTTTTACTGCTTAATTGAATTATATTTGTAATCCAACGGGTTGTGATGTGAAAGTGATTTTATTTATATTTTTGTCATCGAAGACATGAAATTTAAATTGAAAATTAATAATAAGTGCTTTCTAAATATTTCATTATGTCAGATTCGAAATATTTTCATATTTAGATAATCGGGATAACTACACAAATCACAAAAAATGTAGCGGTTGACTTAAAAAAAATGTTGTTTTTGTGCCACAATTTCCGTTTGCATTTTTCTAAGGTGACGTCAATTTTTGGTGACTAAAATATCTCAATTTTCACATATTCGTTCACATAAATAAATCGCAAAAATGTAAATCTGTTACCAAAACAGAGGAAACATCACATCTGATTAAAGAGATATTTAACAATTTTTTCCGATGACGCCATCAACTTTCTGGAAGCAGTCATAAAATAAATTTTAACTGAAATTTAGTGTTCCTTATATAAAAGTTAGTGTCAAAGCAAATTTTCAATGAAGTGCTTTACCAATGGTTTTATAAGATAACCTGTCGTAAAGTAGCGAAACTGGTGAATTTATTAAACCGCAGGTAAAGAAATTGTCACGTTTAGTCGGATTTATGTGAAAAAATTGAGATGATATCATCAACATTTAGGAGAAATAAGTAGACAGTTTGTGGTTAAAATTGAACATCAAGATAATTTTAAAATACATTTAAAATTCGTCAAAAATTTTGACAGACAATCTTTTACAGGAAGCACGTAATTTCCTGTTCTAGAAGCTGCAAAATGCCAAGAAAACATGCAATCAGATATTTATTAAAGTGATGCTACCACAAAACTTGTTTTAGGATTTTTTCGAAGAATAATATATTTGGATTATTAATTTGTGCTGACTCGCTTAACATATTTCAGCATAAATTCATTATTATTACATTGAGAAAACAATTTATATTCATCTTGAGCCGAAGCATAGCAGGTCCTTACAGACGTTCTAATTTTTCTCTGTGTGATATAATTTCAAGTGTACTGTATATCATTTAATAAAAAATAACAATTAACCTTTGAAAGCAACATTTATTACGATTTGATTATCAGTCAAAACAACATTAATAAAAATGCCATGTAGCGTTAATAGGAACTGCATCGTAAATTTTTTGCTATTTAAATGACAATGTATTGTCTCCAAGAAATAATTTTCTACTTTCTTGGAATGTAATTTGTAAACCAAATTTGTTCTGCGTAATTCAGTTTTAAAAATAAGCTAAAAGTAAAAATAGTTTGTATATATAACCCGAACTGTCGAATGATCGAGAAAAAATCAATTAAATCATACCCACTCGCTCTATCGTTGTAAACAATTATGAGCAATAGTAGAGTTTAATGGCGCGTCAAGCGACAAACTTCATATTTCGTTCAATTTGGGTGTAGCCATAAAAGCCCACATTAAGCTTTCCTAGTAGAAATTTAAAAGTACAAAATTGCTCTAATTCAAGTCATGACCATAAGCAACCAAAAATGCCTGAATTAAGTGAAAAAGGTCACAATAACTGGTGCACTTACAGCCCACATCCGTTTCGAAAATGGCATAAAAAAATATCAACATGGAATAAAAATCAGATATAATAACTGTGATAGGATATTTCGCAAGTAGTGTAGGAAGTGGATATTTGACGTAGTAAGTTATATCTAAGCGATAATCATCCCACACGTTGACTTTCGCCTGTAAACAATTTCGTTTACCTACGCCGATATCCTTAACCTTAGCGCCTTATTTAGTCCATTGCACTTGCGCAATGACTTTGTGACGTCACCGACGTTCTTCAAGGATACTCGATTCAACATTTCAACAATCACAACAAACTCTAGGGTGACTTATCTCGTGAGTGGGCTTTTGGGACTTTGGGCGGCAGAATGTGCGTTCGGATCACCTTAAACTTAATTTGTTTGTTATTACATGTATTATGTGGGAGTTAAATTACTCAACAAATAAATTATGACCAACACTAAATATTTTTAACAACTTAAGGTGAAATGCGCTGCCTCGAGTCATTCAGAGAAGATGACTAGTTGCCACGGACCGCTATTACTGGTTCGTCCTACAACATACTATTTTATGTGTAAAATTTCAAATTAATCAGCGAAAACATGAATTTGGTTTCTTTATTGACTTTAGTCACGGCAGAATTGTATGCTGTCGGATTTGTCTACGATTCCTCGAAGCGAGAAATACGTTAAACTGAAGGATACTGTTTCAGAGAAGAAATATTAACGAGTCTTTCATTTTCAACAGCCGTAATTTGTAAACGGCTACCGATCGGGCGCACTGTATTATTATGAAATATTTTTGCTTCAGGTTTTGCTTAATTTCTACTATTATCATAATTTTTCACACAACACTCATTCCTCGGTTGAGAGCACTGTATGTTAGTTATATTCTTATATTATACGGAAACCGTAAACATTTAACATGTCGCCGACTTTTACAAGAATTTACGAGAAATTTGTCAAATTCTTTCTATATCCGGTCACTGCTTTAGACGTTCCTTGGTCAATAGTACTTGGCCTAACAGATTTAACACGATCTTGAGTCAGTTTTCTGCATATCTGTATAAATGTTCAAATTTATGCGAATTACGTATTTGGTTGTAATATTAAAATATCTGCGTTTGACTTCTTTAAATAAATTAAATGAAAACATTATAAAACAATATAAATATTCTATTTCTATTAAAGCGATAAAATAAATAAATAAAAATAAATAAAAGTTTACTTTTTCTTTCAGAGCTTCGTAAAATCTTTAATTTTCTTGTACAAGGGAGTCAGATTTTGAGATTTTAAAGTAACGAATTCAGATAGCGGCGAATTTGAATCTTGATAAAGCAACTTAAAATTACAAATATTAAGCAAATTTTAGAGCGTTAATTTGCATAAATACCGCAATTTTGCAAGAGTAATGAACACTGATGTTACTTGAGGATAATTTATAAGTACTAAAGATGTTAATTTATAATTTATGACACCAGTGCTTCCTGTAAATAGAAGTTTTTGTTGAGGGACTTTAGTAGTTATTTAATATTGTGAGCGAGAACTCAATAATATTCACTTACCCACATGAACATTTCAGTGATTAATAATGTTACCGGCAGTTATAATCTTGTGTCTTTTGGAATGTTTCATGATAGTAATTAAATTTTTTTAGTATTGTAGGGCCATGAATTGTACCAAAGGTCCACGTAATTTCTTGGGATTAAACTGTTATTTTATAAAATTAAATACAAAAATGGCAGTTCTAACATGTTTTACTTCAGCTATTAAGAGAATAAAAATGAGTATTAGGGTAAATGTGTACAAGAGTACGCACTTAGTGTAAAACTGTCAACAACTTTTTAATTTTTTTGGATAGACAAATTTTATGATATGAGTTCGTTATATACATGTTTAGAGATCAGATATATTTAATTGTACGTCCCAAGACCACTATATTTTAAGAGTAATTTCAATTTTTGTCAAGATGTGTAAATGCGCACTCTTAAACAGTTCATTGCACAAGAGTGCGCATTTGAACGCGTACGAGTGCGTATTACATTTTATGAAAAAATATTTGTTTCTAAGGTGATAAATAAATGGGAATAAGTGACTACAGACTACATATAAAACGGGAGACCTATTTCTTCGTACTCTAGGGGTCTTGAAAAGTCGAGAAAACGTAAAAATAGAGAGTCGGTCGACGGACTCGATTACAACACGCTCAGGAAGTAAAAATAAAAAAAAAATCACCATAACCACCACCACACAACTTGCGAAGCAATACAAAGTAGTAGAGTTAAATAATTCATTATCGTATGATATGTATCTCCAAGACTATTAGACTACGTATTGCAAGCAATGCGCACTCTCATAGAATACCTCGCTGCGCACTCTTGTACATTTGTACATAACCTAATGTTTTCAAAGTTAAAAGCTTTTGATGGATAGAAAGTATAAAACTGTTAGTGTATAACGAGACCTTAAAAGTTACAACTAATGAAAATTATTACTGCAAAATAAAAGAACTGGAACGTACCTTACAAAAAACTAAAACTATGAGCGGTAAAAATTACATCCACACAACGTGTGAACATAAAATCGTCAGTACGACCAAACTATAAACTATATTCAGGTCACTTTTGCACCTTTATCTCAGGTTTCGCATTAAATTCTGAATGGTATAACTTCATCTTACCCAGATGGCACTAATAAGCAGAAATCATCAGTGCGTACTCTTATACATATTCGCACTCTTGTACATATTTACCCTATATAAATATTTCAGAAAAAGTAAGAGGCAACATTTTCTAAATACATTATTAGCAGCTGATTTTCATTAATACACTTTCAAATTCAGCGTCTGAATTTGTACCTCTACCTAATTTCAACTAGTTCTCTGTACAAAGTTTACGATCTACATAGTTTCAAAACATTTATTATCTAAAAAGAAATTTGGCTTTAAAAAATTTTAATAAAATCATTGTCTGTGCCTTTGTTTTGTTTCATTTCTCAACTGGCAGTTGATCTCATAAGTTGAATAAGTTTTCCAGAAAAAAATTGATATTTGTTGAAAAGTTAATAATAAATAATAACAAAATTGTCAACAAAAGCCGAGCCGGTGAAACAACTTGTTGTTAAAACGAAGTGGTTGTGAGAAAAATTTGGACAACAACATTTTATGTACCCATATATCCTGAAGTTAAAAGACACTAAAATCTGTTGAAATCTTAAAATCGGAAATTTTATTTTCATTAAATGTCTTCTACAAGTAGCATAATCTGCAAGAGACGTGTATGGTGGAGATTATTAAAAGCAGAGAGCAGATTATTGCGGGTGAGATGGTAATCAGCAATATAATGATGCACCTGATCCTCCCGTCGGAGCGATTAACCTTCAGGTGGTTAGCTGTATGGTACAAAAAACGTTAGTTTTTGTTTCAAACTCAGACATATCCAGCGGCCTCCATACTCATCATTGGATATATAAGCAAAGATAATCGCATTATAAACTCAGTTTTATGGAGGAAAGTTAACGACACATAATTCTAAAACGTCACAAGAATCCGGACTGTGGTTTGAAGCATTTGATTCCTTGAAGCTTCCTAGTTCTAAGAGCAAATTTTCAGGCCGGATACTCTATCTATTTAGTGTTTAGAGACGAATATCTAGAATGGTGTCAGTTGTGAGTTAAAATGCAGCCTTTTTTTCAAATTTAGAGAAACATAGTTTCAAAGCGGCAGAAGAATCGACACTGCGATTTAAACAGTTCGATTTCTTGAACCCTCCTAGCTCTATAAGCAAATTTTTAAACCTGATCCTCAATATTTAGAACGGAGAGACGAATATACAGATTTCTATGAATGATCATAGGGTCGAAGTAGGTCATGAACACGTGCCGCCTCTCAGTTTGGACTTTACTGAATGCCCAAGGGCGCACGATAAATACCACAAGAATCTATATAACTGGTTGCCTAAATGCTTCATATCTTTTTAAAAAATAAAAATGAACTGAATAAAAAGAAACAATTTTATTGCGGTTAAACATCAAAGTAAATGTTGAAAATGTTGACCATTTTGTTCAAGGCACATGTTCATTCCATTTTTAATTTCAGAAATATTCTGTAATCCATTCGTCAATGCCCATTGTTCAATTTCATGTTGCAACTCCTGACTGCTGAGAAAATTTTGCTAAAGATGCTTGCGGATTCTGCTCAAGTCGTCTCAAATCATCAACAACTTCCTCAGATACTGAAGATCTTCCACGAGATTTCCTTTTGTTGACACTGACAGTTCGAACAAATCTGTTGATTACATCTCCAATGTGAGTTTCTAACGATATTTCCTGAATTATTAAATAACGGTATTTGGCCAGATATTCTTACTTACAAGGAGTTACAGAATATGACAAACGTCATAATTGAGCATAATTTCAGCGAAGCGGTATTTTTGAAATCCATGGCCAACTACGACCTTAGAATCATTTATAAAAACCCTGTATAGGAAGGTGTTATTTTTGTGTTGAAAGACACCCTTTCTTCAAATATAAAGTGGCATAACTCCAAAACGGCACAATAACTGACACTGCGGTTTGAAGCATTCGATTTCTTGAACCTTTCTAGTCTCACAAGCAAATTTTCAGGCTGGAGACTCCATCTGTTTAGTATGTAGAAACGAATATATAGGAAGGTGTCATTTTTGGGTTAAAAGACAGCCTTTCTTCAAATATAAAGTGGTATAACTCCAAAGTGGTACAAAGACTGACATTCCGGTTTAAAGTATTTGGTTCCTTCAACCTTTCCAGTCGTACAAGCAAGTTTCCAGACAGGTTACTCAATCCTTTTAGTATATAGAAACGAATATATAGGAAGGTGTCATTTTTGGCTTAAAAGACAGCATTTTTTTCGAATGTAAAGTGACATAACTCCAAAACGGCACAATAATCGACTTTGCGGATTCTAGCATACCATTCCTTCAAACTTTCTAGTCGTACGAGCAAGTTTTTAGACCGGTTACTCAATCTGTTTAGTGTGTAGATACGAATACATATACAGGAAGCCTTTTTCTCAAATGTAAAGTGATATAACTCTAAGATGACACAAGAATAGACTTATGGTTTGAAGCATTCGATTCCTTGAACCCTTCTAGTCCTACAAGCAAATTTTTAGACCGAACACTCAATTTGTTTGGTATGTAGGGATAAATATATAGCAAGGGATCATTTTTGGATTGAAAGACAACTTTTTTTCAAATGTCAAGTGACATAACTTCAAAATGGGGCTAGGATCGACACTACGGTTCAAAGCAATGGATTCCTTGAACCTCTTTAGTCCTACGACCTAATTTTCAGACCAGATACTCGATCCTGCACTGACATGTTAAAAATAATGAAAATCTTATTTTCAAACAGTTATAGTTACATTTTTGCAACATAATAATAATTATTATTAAGATCTGTTAAACGAAAGTAAGGAAAAATTGATCTAAAGTTACTTAGACAGGAATGTCCTTGCCTCTGAAGCACAGTAGGGGGATGCGTATTTCGGAATAAAAAGAGAAGAGATGTCAACGTTTTTTCTCCAAGAATTTTGAAGTTTGAATAAATTCTTTCGGGAATAACAACAAAAATATGGTTATTACAAACAAATATAATACCAAAAAATATACCACAGATAAAAGAACATGTCATAATATAAATTTGAAGCGAGATTTACTTATCAAAATTTTGAGATGACTTCATGGAATTTTTGGTAGACAAATTGTGGGTGGTGTGGTACCATTTGCACGCCATTTTTAAAATACACCTAAAATTTTACAGTCACCAGTCCAGTAGTTTTGATGATTATCCGAATAATAAAATTGCCAACACATGTCTTACAAACGAAGGGTAGAAGATCAACAATCGGAAATGAGAGTTCCAAATTAATCTATTAATTAAAAATGTTTTTCTAGTTTACGTTCTGGAAGTAAGAAACAATAGATTTCAACTAGATAACACCAATTAAACTGAGATAATATTTTTATTTTATCTCCTAAGTATGTTGCTTAATGTTTCTTGTTTGCACTGATTAACCTTCTTTTTAAATGATTCTTTATTATATGTACAAACCCAAGCTTCGTTTACAAAAAATTGTGCATATGCTGTATCCTAGTCATCCAGAACTTGCTTTAAATTTAATATTGTCCTTGAATTATTTTCCTTGAAATTTCCACCAGTTTAGATGACCCAGTTATTTTTGTCCACTTTAAAAATCATTCGTAATTATTAAAAACGGCAACTAATGAATAACTAGTTTTCAGTAGCTGAAAATCACTTTTGAACTAAAACTAACAACAATTTTTTTCACGGACTTACCGAAGCAAATGTTTCAAGAGTCAGTTTAACCACTTTTCCAGAAGTTAAAATCATTGGTTTTTTAGAACGTTCCATGATGGTAATTAAAACCTTTCTAATTCTGACATCATACTTATACCAAGAGCCCATGTACATTGCTGTCACCACTCCGTTATTCTACAAACGTTCCATAAATTAAATTATCATACATAACAATCGCATAACTTACTTCTTCGTATAGTAAAGTCCCATAGTGACAATAAAAAAATATCTGAAAGGACAAACATAAAAAGCAGGCGAAGAATACGACATTTTCATAGCTTGCCGTTTGAGCCTAAAACACATTATGTTAATACTAAACGTATCTTTTTAAAGAGATGACTTTGTTACTAACGAGAATAAACCCTATACAAATAAAACACAACCCCACTGTGCTTGCTATTATTTGACAAAACACACACAACGAAAAACAGTCTTCGTATTCAGCAACAAATCTGAAACTGTTTATTCAACGTAATCCACACATTTACAAAACATTACTACTTTAAAATGCTTATGTGACGGTTAAGGCATCTCTTTAATTTTTCAGAAATTTCTTCAAACTTCACATAGGTGTTGCAGTTTTCATCAACCCCCAAGTTCTCTAGATTGTATTTCAAAATTTTAATCTGACAGGTTGCCTGATATGCTAATCCAGCGATTACAGGATCAATCATTGTACCAGTGAAAGCATCATACACAACGACTGTAATAAAATAAATTAAACGGGAACAACAATTCCTATTCATATATTTACCTGAAAACAGAAAGACCAAAGTTCCATAATAATTGACGAGATTAGCTGCAGGATCATAAGGCAACCAACAATTTATAGGAAGTGCACGACCCTTGGAAAGTAAAACAGGAAGCGTCCAAACAACCACCCACACAGCAATCCCATAAAAATAAGCTGTAGAATTTCTGTGGCACACCGAGATACACTCATCTGTAATTTTCTTTTCTTCACGATCGATCGGCTTGAACTCTGATTGAGCAAAATAATTCACACAGTTCATAATCCGTCGTCCGTCCAAGAGCAGAGGCAAAACTTTAAAAGTGAAACCTATTGTTTCACATAACCATATAACGATAACATTCATTTGTAGATTGTCGTAATTATTCTCCGATAAAATGCCCATAAACACCAAAATTGTTACTAAAATATACGACACAAGATAGAACAGGACGCTCTTCACTTTCACTAACACTGAGTTATTGTCTGATGGATACAGACCAAAGAATCTCAACACGTCTAAGTTGATTTTAAAACTGTCTTCACTGATACTTGTCATTGTTGCTCGTGTTGCATTCGAAACACAAATGATGTGACGGGTTCGATTCGACTTTAATAGTTTGCTGCCTTTGTTTTTCATAGACTTATTCTTTGTAATTAAAGTGGTAAATGTGAATTAATTTTACATCAAAGTTGGTTAAGGGAGGCAGCTCTTAATCAAAGGGTAGCAAACTTGGAATATTGTCGATTCGATAATATGGTTACGTTCTAAGCTTTTGAAAGCATAAAGAGTTTTATAAATGTTTTATTTCATATTTTATTCATTTGTTTTGTATCTGATATGGGTTGAAATGCGTTAGACTTGCAGGTTCAAAGAGACGATCGAGAAATTATTATTAGTGATCGCTTCATTATAAATTCCATTTGATTAATTATGTATTTTCGGAGTAATGTGCGAAGGATAAACGTAATTTTATTGAGTTTAACAAAATTTCTCAATACAAAATTGATTAATACCGCAGAGATTTCGATGGTGGCGAGGGTGTTTTAGGGTGGCTGAAATGTGTGTTTCGGGGTTTTCAGTGCGTCAGAGAAAATAATCAGGTGTATGAGCTTTTGGAAATATTAAGTTTAGTTTATTTTAGTTTAGAATAAATCTCCCGGGCTACTGTTGCGTTGTCAATTAATTTGAAGCGCATAAAATGGAAACTAATTACTTCTCACATAATTTTATAACATACATTTACTTTGAGAAGAAGTTATTTATAATATGGTTTTAATTTAATTGAAGAATGTGACCCTCAACGACCAAAATTATTGCATATTTTATCAAATACCTATCATTCTGACGCTTTACGGGCTGGTAACGAAATGAATAAGTTTTAAATGAAATATTGCAGATTTTTGTTTATTTTTTTAAGGAGTTTTCGCAGTGATTTTTAGTTACATGTAGCTGAGCTTTCACTATAAAGTCATTATTTGTTGAAAACGTGTAGAATAGTAAGAATCAGTTTAAAACACACTTTCATTGATGTAATTGTGGCTAAAAGGAAAATTGTGATACATTTTCCAATTTTATAACATAGTAAAAAATTACGGTTTGATATTTTTTTATAAACTACATAATCTTTAAAACTACCCAAATTTTAAAATTCAACTCGATGAAAAGTTTTTCACTTTCTGAGTGCAACCAAATTGTAGTGGAAACCTATTTTTCTTTACGTTTCATGGCTAGAATACGAAGAAATAGGTCTCCGGTTTCTGTGTGTCCATCGTCTGTCGTATCTCTACTACTGGACCGACTGTTGTCAAATTTTGTATGTGATTTAGGAATATCGTGCAGATGGTAAAACTAACCAAAATTTGTCTAATCGTCCTCACCAACAGTTTGATTACGTACACTTATCATTTTGCCCAGTGAAAGTTTTCTAAACTGTGTAAAATAAAACATTTCTGTACTCGTAGTTTATGAATCCGCTTTAATTTTTATTACTAGTACTTCATAAATATTTTTTTGTGCAATATTTTCCACCGTTTCATGCAGACGGAATCTCGCTCTTGTACCAAACGAAAGATTCCCGGGTACTTCCAATTCTTCTTTTTTTTTAATGATTAAATTAAGAACCTTTGACCATTGTTTTTGCTTTAAATATATATTTAGATTTATAGTTTATCAAAGAAATTAAGCCGTTTAAATGCCTCGAGAGCGTGTTGAGATTTTTTAGTGTTGCGGGGATAATAAAGTGTCCCGTGTAGTTTCACGTGAAAACAGAATATTTCCTCATTTTTATAAGTTTTATAAATATTAGGTGAAAGGTAGGCATAAACCAAAGTTAACGCAATCTCACAACAGGAACAATAATGCTGTTAATTATGATGTTATTAGTTGTAAAAAAGACAAACGTTACGTAGATACACCATTATCAGAAATAACTTAATTATAGATCCCTAGTGATTAATGATGTATTGACAGAATTAATTTCTAGCAAAAGTAAAAACTCCAGCATCGGTGAATCTCCGATTAATTCCGTTATAATGTTGTTAGACTTCTTTACATCTTCTTTTTAACCGTCGTTTAGATATGTCATTTTTAAAAATTTTGTCTGTGATATCTGCTCACATTTAGCAAAATATTTTTGACATTTTTCAAAGAGCAGCAGAGCGGTTCAAACGTATTTCATTTGTATTGCGTAATTTTTTTGTGTGGTAGTCACTTCAATAAATTCCTCCAAATGCCGTTAACCGTATTTTAGAATTTTCATCTTGCAAGTGGCATGATACGACAGTTCTCCAATTATAGGACCAATCAGTGGACCACAATAGGCGTTATGGACCACTACTGCAAATAACAAAGTAACCTGTTTTATCTACAAACTAGCGGTGTCCCAGAAAGTTTTACCACTTAAGTTAAATAAAACAACAGTTGATAAATAAATAATTCAAACTTTCTGGAGAAGTGTTATACTATGGAATTAAACATCAGCACTAACAACGATAAAAGTTGTGTAGTATCTGATAGAAATGGCTGTAGGATTATACGATAGCCAACAATTTGTGGGAAGGCCGCCATCGTTTCCTAACAGAGTTTGCAAAATCCGTAAACGGAAGTCTATCAAAGTGTGCCTTAGAATTTCTGCGACAAATTCCATCACATTCATCTCTGGTTTTCTGCTCTTCGTTATCTCGCGCTACAAATGTCGGTTTAAAGATATAGCTTCCAGTTTCCAACAGAAATATGATCAAGTTCGTTTGCAGAATATTTGAGTTATTTTTCTTTAACGGGTCTGTTAACACTAACTAATATCTCACAGACAACCACCCAAACGAGTGTTTCAAAAATATCATTTTATATACATACTGTGATAACCCAAACATCCCGCCTTAAATCGACATGTGAAAAAAAAGAAAGCCCGCGAAAAATTCAAAATTAAAAAAAAGCAAAGCAAAATCTGAATTAAAGATGCAAATAAACAAGTTATTACGAGCATTTGGCGGAAAATTTAAAATTATGGCAGAGAACAAAATTTTTATAAAAAAAACAACTGTGCAGCGGCAATGGCAACAGAGCGCTATAAGTGGCGATCGAAATATACGAATTTCATTCTAGAACACAGCAAACATACCTATAGAGGCGTTGTAGAACGAGCGGAGTTTGGGGCTCCTGGTTGGGGCTCTTCTCCTACCCACGACGCTGATTCTATCTATCGCAAGCACTGCCGCCCAGCCGTTACGGTCGCAAAGTCGCAGTCGACAGCGTTACGTCATCTCGACCGTCCCTGACAAAACTTGCAACCTCGACTAGGAACCGCGCACTCTGCTTCTGCCACGTATTTCGGTGTTGTCTAGCCTTAATTCCATTTAAATGTTCAATTTCTCTGACTCTGGTATTAAACTACAACTGAAGAAGTGTGAAAGTTTCAAAAAGAGCAATAAACAACATTTCCATTCGCCATACAATCTTGTGAAATTTTAAACAACAAATAATTCTTCTGTGAGATTAAAATTAGAGATCAGACAATTTATATGGTGGAAACATTCATCAACCAAATATTTACATGAAAGAAAAACTAGGAAAGATTTATGAAACAAAAGATCTGGGGTGAAGTAAAACTTGTGCAGACAAAAATATTACGTGAGGTTGAAACTGCAGAGCGTTCAATTTAAATTATACAACAAAGAAAATTACTGAATTTAAAATTGTGAGATGTGAAAATTTGCAAAGCTAACAAAATTACATGAGGTTAATATTTGCTACACTATATCAATGGTTCAAACAAAGAATTTACATTATGTTAAATTATGCCACACTTTATCAACGATTCAAACAAAGAATTTATATGATGTTACATTATGCCATGGTGCAAGTGATTGACTACTTAAACAAGTTGTTTTGGGGGTTTATATCGTGGACTGTTTATCCCAAACAAAACACATGATAAATAAATAAATAATCCCCCCCGTCACTTCACGGTACTATATTATGAATTCTGCTGCACTTTTCTACGGTCTTTTTCCACAGTGTGGCAAATTGGTCAATTTAAGTGCCGTAAATGAACTGTTAGCAATCTTGTGTGAAGAATAAGAAGTGTTATAATGTAACAGTTAAGTATTAGCATCCACAAACTTATTCATAATTAGACAAACAAAGGGTGTTGTCCTAACTAAGTAAACTTCATGAAATTTCCTAGCAAGTGATTTATCTCAATAAATTCCTGATTGTTAAATTGTGTTAGTACTAGTTAACGATTAAACTCCTAACATGAACTGTGCATTTGCAAACAATAAAACGAATTTACACGTGTTAGCGTTGGTAGAAAATTCACTTATTTCCGCTCGGAAAAAAACGCAAGAATTAGCTCCACGTGTTGGGGAAACTGTAGCCTGGTAGTTGTTACGATTAATTGTCGTCAAATAAAGGCATCCTTCCTTTTTTTAACTACCAAGCCAAACTTAACCTAGCTTCTTTACCACCTGGTTTTCACTCACACCACATAACACACAGTAACGCCTTTCTACCAACCCTCTCACTAGCCACTACCTATGTTTAACTATTTCCTTGATTGTGTGTATGTATATGTTTATACATTTTTTTGAAAATATGTATGTGACAATTATTTCAAAAGCTTAAAGCAAAACATTCAATAGTTTCATATTAGTTTTAATTTCAAGAAAATCAATTCTAAGAATGTGTTCTTATTAGTCCTTTTTTCATCAAACATTTTTTCACTGTGCCTATGTCATTCCCAAAAGAAGATACAGTAAGTCACCTGTACAAACAAAAAAAGAAGAAACTAAAAGATATTTTATTTTTCACTCGTATATAATGTTTGTTTTATATCCATGATTTGATAAACGTAAAGCGGCATCTTATATCCGGGGTACAATGAGCGGGCATAAAGAGTTATTACGCCCTCTCATTATGCCCTATTTTGCTAAACCGAATTAAACAAAAATTTAAAAAAAAATATTGTTTATTTTTAACTACTTATTTATTTTTTGACAATTTATTTAATAACGAAGATACAAATTACAATTTACAAACTTGCTATTCATACCAAA